TTCGACTGATTTTTTTATTTTTTTTTATTTTTTTTCTTCAGTGGGTGCTCTTCTAAGCAGCATTCTTGCTGAAAGTAAGAGCAAGTTTTCCAGCTGGTGGAATGATAATGCTTGATGTTCATAGTTACTGCTAGAGACCAAAACCACTTTGCTGTGCTTGTCATATCTCCTGTTTCAGACATTAAAGGAGCAGAAGAAGGGTCACATCTACAACCCTCCCATATGGAGGAGCAGAGTAGACAGGCGACCAGAATTGTCCAAACAGAGTATTCCATCCCATACATGTCATATTCGGCATAAATTAAGGGATCACAGCAGTCAAGCTCTCTTCGTCCATGCCTGGCATCCAAGAAAGACTCCCATCTATCCACCTCCATTGATCCCTAAGCCTGTGTGTTCCTGACCCTTCTCTCTCTACCCTTAGCTCCTCTTTGCTTTGCTGCTAGCTCCGGAAGTGGTCCAGAAATTTTTCAGGTCTGCCCAGTGGCTCAGGGGAGTGCCATGAGAGTTGCTGGGGGTGAAGGGGGGATTGGGGTTTTGTGGACTCCTGCACATGTTTATACATATTTGTACATATTTTCTTTTAGCACTAGTATTTAATTAAAGTTGTCAAGTTTAGTTTTTAATCCAGAGAGTCTCTCTCATTATTCTCTCTCTCCTTTCCCTATCTGGGTGGGAGGGAAAGGGGCTAGACCTTATTGTCGTTAGTTTGATTGCTGGCACAGTGTTAAACTGTGACACACAGAACGATGGACAGGCAGATTTGCAAGATGAGTTCTTACATTTGTAGGAAAGAAATTAATTAAATTTAATGTACTCTAGTGAAAACAGCATGGGTTTTATTTGAGGTGGTGGGAGGAGGGAAGGAAGGCAGACAGGGGAGGGACGCTTCCTGAAGAATGTTCTGATTTTGGAGACAAGATAAAGTTTTATTTCTATTATTTAACAGAGATACCAGGTCACCAGATTTAGAATTCAGGAAGCATTGTATCTCCTTCAGCTGGCGGTAATGGATGTTGACATAAAATACATTATGATCCTAACAGTTCTGGAAAGAGCTGTGTAAGAATTGTATGGAACATGAGCTATTTTTTTGATGAGAAGATTTGCATTGCATTTTTGTTTTATTATAGGAACCTCATTTTATTCACAAAAACATAATTGTTTAACATGGTTCTTTCGGCCATGTCTGCAGTAATTTCTTTTGCCTCATGGTAATTGTCCGAGCAATGAAAAAGATTCTCAAGCTCTAACATTACACAGCCAAGCAATATGTAATTGAATGCAACTGTCATTGAAACAGACTAGTTTTCTGACCTGTTGTTTAAATCTGAACATAATGCTTATTTACTACCTTCATTATTACAGAATTAGCATATAGAGAAGCTGTGCCATATCATCATGTACTTGCCTGACAGATGGCCATTAACTTCCTGAAGGCTTTTTGTACTCACTTAAAATATTCCATATTGGCACTAAGTTTCTTTCCTCACTGTGAAGTATGATTGACTGGTTGAAATAGATTAATCTGCCTCTCCTCTGGTCTTTGAGCTTGTTTCGTGCTCCAGCAACCAGGTTTTGACTCTAATTTTGCAAAATGATCAAAGCCACTTTTGCTAATGATACAGTGTGGAAAGTTCAGTTAGGTTTTGCAATCTCTAAACAAACAATTCAGGTTGTAACGGGTGAAACAGACCATGCAGCTTACATATAATGTTAGTACAAAGAAATTATTTAGTCTATTAAAGCATATACAATAGGCTTTCTGCTATGCTGCAGTTTTCTTAATATTATTTCTTTGGAAATAATCCCTTTTTTTATTTCCATAACTATTTTCTGATACAGTTTCAATCATACGTGATTTTTTTTTTGGCAGCTGTGGTTCTCGCTTATTTTTTGCTACTTTTATTCCATCTGTTGTTTATAGTTCCTTTCTACTGTCTGCTTGTTCTTAATGTTGCCTTTCAGAAGCTGAAATTACCAACTGGGCACTTGATTTCCTTGTCTTGTTCCTGGCCACTTCTCATCTACCAGCTTTTCAGACCAACAAGTTTTTCCTTTGTGTTGTAGTCCTCTGTTGCAGAGGCAGTGCTTGACTCTTTCTTTACACTTGTGCTGTGTTCTCTTTCTCTTCTAAGAATGAGTACTCTATTGGATGTGATTAAGTAATATGCACTGAGGACATATTTGCCTGTGTTAATATTAAAACTGTTAGCACTGTAGTAAACCAACTTAGTGTAATAAAGTAACATATAAAGTCACATTAATTCTGCACAGCATTTATGCACTTTCTCAGTAACTTTACATTTTCATCTTTGGACAGAAACCAAGTATCAAAACTCTTATATAAATAAAAAATGCACAAATACTGTGAAAAGTTGAAAGAATGCTAGTAGTCATAATAACACTTCTGGGAAACTTACATATACTCAGGTACTAGTAGACATTTGTTTCAGTAATTCAAGTGAGCATTTTGGTAATTCTCTTTTTCCAATTTAATTGTCCCTGAATGTAAACAATTATTAGGTTCATTACTCTTCCTTTGGAAAGAAATACTTGGCTTAGAAAGACTTGATCCAGAATAGTTTCTAAGCATTTTTATCAAACACAACTATTTCTAAGTGATTTTATGCCTCTAAAGATTCAGTTCTTCAGTCACACAAATGAGTTGTCATTCCTAAACTGGCATCACTTTGTTGTGCATTGTAATATTTATATATTTATGTATTTTGAATTTTCAAATATACTCTTCAGCTGGCACTTCTTGAATCTTAGGTGTAAGATGATATACATCACAGATATATGTTCTATATGATTATAGAATCATGGAATGGTTAGGGTTGGAAGTGACCTTTAAGATCATCTAGTTCAACCCCCCCTTGCATGGACAGGGACACCTCCCACTAGATAAGGTTGCTCAAGGTGCCATCCAGCCTGGCCTTGAAGACTTCCAGGAAGGGAGCAAGATGATGAGATGCAAAGAATGCCTGTTGCTGCATTTCTTTGTTTTGGACAACCAGTTGCTGCCACAGGGCTAAATACTGGATTATCCTGCCTATACAGTTAATTGACAAAACAGGACAGTGAAATGGAGAAAGTATGAAAGAGAGAAAGGTATGAGCCCATTGTGGTAGAAAGGAGGTCTAAGAAGAAACAAGCGTATAGTTGACAATGGAAGAATTAATAATTAAGCAAGTAATTTTGGCACTCTGCTGACAAGGCACCTATTTCTTATTGCAGGCCTAAGCTAGTTTTGTTGTTAAACAAATCTGGGCCCCTAGCTCTTGGAAGAAAAGAGTAGGACACATTTTCAGTGTTCCAGAAAACATGGGTTAAGTTTTTGCCTGACTATGTTAGTAGGAGAACAAGGAGAAGTAAAATATAAAATACTAAATTCTTAGCTAGATTGAAACTTTCTGGGAATTACTGTTTCTCAGGTACCTTTAATTGTTTATCCTTTTTCTTGGGATTCCCAGTTATTTAACTGTCTAGTTGAGTCTCTCTAGAAAAGTTACCACAAAATGAGCTTAACATATTCTTACCCTCTTTTTGCTAAGTAGACTATAAGCTGTTTCTCGAAAGGACAACATAAATCCAAAGAAAAGCAAAACATATAGAGCTTGAAATAAATTAATCCTGGCAGTTCTAATGTCTAATAAAATAGATCTTTTGTGTTTCAATGGCTTATGAGTCCTAATTGTCATGATTTTTTTAAAATCTAATACTATGAACAGCTTGTGATTCACCATTCTAAAACAAATGTATCCAGGCAATAACAAAATGACTGTAAACTTAGTCTAAGGTGGGCACCCTGCCAAAAACAATTGGACTTTCTATATTATCCACTAGATCACTTATATTTACAAGTAACATTACTTCTTTTCCCTCCTGCTCCTGAGAGACCTAATGCCCCAGAACAATTGCAAGCATTTATCTCGAGACAAAGTCTAAATGTTTATTTTTAGCAAGTTTTTATTATATGGTGTAGGAGCCCCCCTGCTTATCTTTAGAGGAATTTCATACACAAAAGCACAGCACTGAGGTTCTTCAGAGTACAGCTGTGATCAAGGCTGATGAAAATTTACGTTTGCCTGGATTAAAGTTGGTCCTGAATTTTTGGCTGACCCACATAGCTTTGTATTTGCTGATGAGTGTTTTGTCCTTAATTTCAAGATTTGTGTTAGGAAGAGTTTTAACCAGAGGCCCTGGTTAAACTAAATGAGGGTTTATAGCTGTGTGGCAGGTTTCCTAATAATTTTTAAAATATCAAATATGAAATATTTTTGCTTTTATCTTAGTATTTGTCAGGATTGAGTACATGTGTTTGTAGAATTCAGCACAAGTCATGCTTTGTACTTGTCTCTCAATTTGTGCAAGAGAGGAGCTGAAAATTCCAGATTTACCCATCTTCCCCAGAAGACACGTACATGTAAGGACTGATGGGACCAGTGCTGTTTAACATCTTTATTGGAGATATGGACAGTGGGATTGAATGTATTCTCAGGAAGTTTGCTGATGATACCAAGCCTACTCACTGGGATGGCAGAGAGAAAAAGAGAAAGCCTTAATGTTGCGCAAGTGCTGCTCAGCAATAGCTAAAACGTTGGTGTGTTAGTGATGCTGTTTTGGCCATGAATCCAAAAGACAGCACTATGTGGGGCTGCTGTGTGAAAAGTGAATGCCAGACCAGCCAGACTTACTGTGTGAGCACAGATCATGTTTGAAGCTTAGTGTTAAGTAATTTTTGCTTTTTTTAATTGCCATCACAAATAATTGTGATTATTTTTGGTGTGTTCTTTTGTTGTTTCGGCTTTTTTTCCCCAATTATATTGTTTTTTTTAATGGAAGTTGATATCTAGTTACATGAGTTCAGGAGACAGGACAGAGCCTTGTTTAAAATTTGCTAACAGCATGGGCAGATTGAACTTTGTTACCCCAAAGACATTTAGCTGAGACCTCACAGGTCCAGATCTCTCCTGTGTCAGGTAGGGGAGGGACGGATGGTGAAAGAACTGAGTCATGGACTGGAGTACAGTGCTCCAGAGAGCCAGTTTTTCCCTATTAGAGGTGGCAGTGTTGCTTCTGAGAAGGCACCACCAACCTGTGGTTTTCAGATTTTCTGTTGCTGGCAGTTGGCCCCAGTTGTTGGCTGTTGTAGGCACCAATATTTCATCTATGCCTAAAACCACTGACTGGTGATTGAAGGTGTGCAGTAAGTGTGACAGGAGATGTGAAAGCATTCTAGGAGTCAGCAGTACTGACATAAAACTTTTTTTTGTTTTTCAGTGATCCGAGGATGACACTATTGCTGTCTCTGTTACCTTGCATGCAGCATTACAATGGTTTAATACAGAAGATCACAGTAGAGTGCCAGTAGTCTTCTGCAGAATTCCCGCCTAGGGATCCAAAGCTAAACTGGTGCTTTATTTTTATGTGCATTTGTGAAGGTGGATTATGAGACATTAACACCTTTATTGTACTAAGTTCTGCAAGTATTTAGCTTTCACTGCAGATGGGAAACAATTGTTCATGAGTGTGTGGGGAGGTAGTTAGTTGGTTTTGTCTCATCAGAGCACAGCGATTTGGAGTAGAACAAGGAGTTCAAGTAACTTAAACAGAAAAGGTATTCAGAAAATTCACAGCCTTTTTCAGAGGCCTTCTTTCAAAGTGAGAAGTGTTGTACCCTTAGTACTCTTGAGATGAATACTGGAACTTTACATAACAATTTCCAGCTTGAATGGAAGAGGTCTGACCATTTTGTAATCAAGCCCTGGAAAACCTGCCACATAATTTAGTAAAGGGAGATTGCTCATCAAGTTTTTTAATCACTTGCATTCTCTCACCTGAGGTGAAATTCTGACCTAATTAAAATTCATAGGTATTAACTGTTGAAAATGGCAGGCTTAGAATTTCACCCATACTGTTCAAGTGCTTTCAATTGGAGTACAGCAAAAATTAGAAGATGAGAGATGCCTACACTAGCAAAGATAGATGGGCAAAGCCATTAAAAGAGAATAGCAATGGATAATAACAGGCATAAAGAGATGCTATTTAAAAATAATTAAAGATGCAATAACTTTAAAAGAGAAAAGATTATATTAATTCAAAACTGAGAAAATTTAAAAACAAGTATATTTAATTTTACCCTTATGTGGATTATATTCAGGGATCGGTGCATTAAATAGCAGTGCAAAATCAGGTTCAATTACAGTATGATTTATATCTCTAAACAGGTCAGGTACAGCAGGGACTTCAATGAGGCTGACTAGATGTTTTCTCTAGTCAGCATAGCTCTTGTTCAAGGGACTTGATTATGAGCAAAGGAAATAATGCATAGGTGATAAATGAGAATTAATCAACGGTGAACATTTCCTTACTGTATGCTCATTTGAGAATTTATGCACTAGTGTAGCAGTGTCGAAGAAGAGACTAACCCAGTAATTCTTACACAGACTATAGTGGTAGGTAGCATCATCAATTGGCTGGAATTCTCTCCTGTGATATTAAGTGAATAATCACCATGTTACTTATGCCTGAGATGATTCTTTCTGCAGCATGACTGACTGCAAGTGTCATCCAGAAAGACCAGCTTTTGCTTAGTCATACAAAGCAGGAATTAAATGACAGCTGGAAATGGAAGGGTTTCAATGTAAATCAACTTTTAACTTTTCTCCTGTTGATAGATTTGCTTCTGCCTTTGGTTTTATTTTCCTTCAAATGGAAACTTATTTAAGGTATTTTGCAAAAAACTCAGTGAGTCCTGACCTTAGAGAAATTTATTGTTAGCATGACAAAAAGTTACATATTTCCATAATGCTGTGTTGTCATAGCCACTCATTTTATAAATTACTGCTGACATTGATGTATACCTTGAATTTAAGAATAACTTGGTGATTTTTATTTCTAAATTAATTATCTAGGAGTGTGAACCACATCTCTGATTTTTTCTGTTCTTTCTAGCAGAAGCTTTATATTACTGATTGATAATACTAAATACAAATAATAATTTCTGTAGCAGAGTATAGCTTTTTCTCCTGTTACTATGTGATCACAACATTTCATTATTTCTCCTAAATATATACATAATAGAATTTTCAATAAATTATTTTTTAAAAATTCTCCCACCTAACTGCTTGGTTTTTTCTCCCTCCTAGTCTGCTCCCAGTTTTCAAGAGGAGTCTTTGCTATTTTTGGATTCTATGACAAGAAGTCTGTAAATACCATAACATCATTCTGTGGGACTCTTCATGTCTCCTTCATAACTCCCAGCTTCCCAACAGATGGAACACATCCCTTTGTCATTCAGATGAGACCTGACCTCAAGGGAGCTCTTCTTAGCTTGATTGAATACTATCAGTGGACCAAGTTTGCATATTTATATGACAGTGACAGAGGTAAGATGTGTAGTTTTTATCTGTATGCTGTTTGTTAGATATATCTCACTGAAATGCTGAATTGTTACTAGGAAAGTGGACAGGGAAAGAAGTATTTACCTGCAGCAAGTGCAGACTTAAATTTAGAAATGAGTTTTTGGGACAGTAACAAAACTGTTAAACGAGAATGGAATTTTTATAGTATGTATTGTTAGAAGTTTTTCTTTTTTGTTTTGTGAGACTCATGTAAGGAGAAAAAAAATCTTGAGTATGAAGGGCAGTCTGCTATCACAGATTTACTCCACACATGCAAAATTTATAGTTGGGCATGAAGCAAGCAGGACCCAATCCCTGCTTATTTGGAGTCTTCTTTTGATTACTTGAGTTCCTCTCCTCTGTTGAGCTTGTATTTCTTTTGTTGTTGTTATTGTTGATAAACCCAAATCCATGACTTGTGAGCAATTTACTCTGCAGTACAGCCCTCTCAAGTCCTATACCCTTTTATGGCTGTAGTAATAATAACAGTTTATGAACTGGGAAAAATCACTTGCAAATTGCTGTATATTAATTAGCTTTCTGAGAAGAAGCAGCATTATACAGAAGTAGGGGGTTTTTTTAATGCCCTTTCTGGAATTCCATTATTATAATTTTCAGGTTCTACTCACCTAGACTAACTTTTCTATTCCTGCCTTCTCCTGTCCACTTTAAAAAGGCTATTTTGTGGCTCATCTGCATGTTCATTGGTCAGAGCTGAATAATAAGTGCACATTAAATGGTAAGGTGCACTAGATGTAAAGGATGGTTATACCACACCATAGTTTGTTGAATTACAGGGTGACAATAGATTGTATGTCCTCTGATGCCATTTTATACATTGTTGTTTGGAAGCTGAAGGTTTCTCCTCAACTATTGTAACCACTAAAGTTAGAATAACTAATACTGGCATGTAGCTTCCAACAGTAATGTGGGCTGGTGAGCCCGGTGCCAATTTCTTTGCCAGATCCTTTTCAAATTCACATTAGAATCAGAAACATTCACTGCCTTTTTAGAAATGTAAGACTATTTGCTTAGCCAATATTCTGTCAATCACCTAGCAGTGTGTGGTATGTGACCTGTGTGTGATTTATATTTAGGAGATACTGAAAAACACCTAGTTCTTTTGTGAGCTACACTGGCAGAATCTGGACAGGACTAACAGCGTGAAATTCTTATTTGTAGTCATCCTTTACATGTGCCTTTAAAAAATGTGTTTCTTTGTTTTAATGGTGGCAAGGCACCCCAGTGATAACAAGCTCCAAGGCATGAAACTCCTACCTTTATGTTGAGTAAATCATTGCTTCCCAGTGCTCCTACTGATTGCACAAGGTTAACCTGCAGAGTCATACATACTACATTATGTAGCCAGCAATACTGACATCAAACATTGAATACACAGTGTCCTCAATTTCTATAAACAAGCTTGCATAAGTGTTGATGTAGTGACAGTGATGTATATTTAAGGAATTACATATATAATTTAAAATATTCCACCTTCAGGAGTGAGATAAAAAAGGCGGAGAGACTTACACTGCATGGAACCTGTGAAAGCTAATAGGAATTAGTTCAATTATTTATTCCAAAAGAATAATTTATTGCCACTTTAACAGCTCCTTTGTGGTTAGGAGCTGACTGGTTGAAGTGCAGGGCAATTTTGTATCTCATTCCTGTCTATAAGAAGTAAGGCCATTAAATATATGCATGTTCAGGCTGCTAGTGCCTTAGTATGGCCATCACTCTCATATAGTGTGGATTAATGTCCTTTATCTTCCTTGTTTCCTTTGTGTTGCCAGTACGAAACAGTGGGATTTAGAAAAAGCAGTGACACGGAGGATTTTATCTGTAACAGAATTGCTAATTTACTTGGTGTCTGTTCAGTCCTCCTTTTCAGACCTCACTGAATTTAGAGTGTCTCTCATGATAACCAAGAGAGATTCAAGCACATGAGGTTCCCAAATAAAAGCATTGCTGCAGTTAAAGGACCTGAAGCTGTTGGAGTTTCCTCTGCAGAGTCCCACTTCTGTTACCACACTCCAGATACTTCCATGTCCAGAGAAGTACTGCTGTGAATGTGGTTTTTTTTGTTCTTTTGCAATCTCTTGTTGCTATCGGAAAAAAACTAAACTCTATGGGGGTGACAAATCTATGACCTGTAAAAAGTATGAAATCCAGGCAGCCATTTGAGATTTCTTCAGAGAGCACCTGAGGAAAATGTAGTACCTAAGAAAAATGGAAGATCACAGAGTAAATTACAGAAACACTTTGTAACAGATAGTATTAACATTAATAGACTTTATTAATTTATGTCTAACTGAGATTCTGTTTAACTCAGAAGAGTCATATAGGCAGACTAGAGGACTTGAAATCTAAAGGAGATCTGGAATGTTGATTCAAATCATACTAATTTCAGTTTGTTTTTTAAATTAATTTAAATTATAATTTAAAACATTAATTTGAGGTACAGGCTTATTTTAGTACCTTGTCATGTTTTAAGATAAACCCTATATCTTTTTGTTTGCTTACATTATTTTTTTTTTTTCCTTTTAGCATGAGTTCTCCATATTTATCTTTAGCATGTTACAGTTTTTGTATACCCTTGGACTTCAATTTTCTTTTATTTTAAAATAAATATTAATTGCTTGACATACAAAGCTTCAAATCAGTCTTCTCTAAAGACAACATAGGAAACCAGGACTAGTTTTGCTAATAATTTAATTTATGCTTTTGGAAGCCTGGCATTTTCTACCTTTGCTGATGACCAGTCTTGTATAGTACTTATGGCTGGGGGGTTGGAACTTGATGATCTTTAAGGTCCTTTCCAACATTGATGATTATATGATTCTATGATAAAACTGAATTGCTAAGCACTGACCAATCTTAATGATGTATTTACAACTATGAGACAAATTAATTCTTAGTGCTTTATTTTTACATTTATGGGCATAACCACCGTTCTTTCTCATGAGAGTTAAACTTGAAGCTTACTTGACATATCCAGTCAGAAATCTGTCTTGAAGAAATTACTCCTGGTGTTTCCCCTTCAGGGGAAATGAACATGCAAAAATGTTAACTGTTTTGTGGGAAAGTATAATTTTATTTTTTTTCTGTAATAATACCTGCTATCTTAAAAGTAGCTCTCTAGAATTATGTAGAATTCTCTGGAAGGAATTTAAAACATAACAAGTCTAATTCCTGTACTCCTGGAAATTGTTAAAGTGGTATTTGTTGTATAGCAGAAATTTATTTCCAGCAGTAATTTTCATGTTTCTGTACTCTTTTATTTAATCCTTGAAAGGGAAAACCAGGGAGGTAAAATCCTCACTGATCTTACAAATACTGTAGGCAGTTGCAGCTGTACAGACATTACAGCTTCCTGGCAGGAATATGACAAAAGGATAAAATGGAAGCAAACTTCTGTCAAATGCTTGTAAGTGTTAGCATTGAGCCTACTTAGCTATATGGAAAAATATGTTTTGGCACAGCTTCTTTCATAATCAAGGATATGTTTGTAGGCAACAGAAATAAGAACTCTTGTTAGCACCTCTGCAGTACATGAGAATTTTGCCATAGACTTCAGTGAGATCAGAGTTTGAATACAGTACTGTTCAAGTGCCGAGTACAAAGGCAGCTCAATAGCATTTCATAATAAGCAGCTGATCATCTTGCCATAATTTAATCACCTTTCTTCTATAAAACCTCTTTGCCATCATGTGGAATTAGAGCAATGGATCAGTGAAACTGGCAAAATACCATCCTGAAAGAGATTGAAGCAAAACCAAAAGGTTGTCCTTATAAGGCTTTTACCCTTATTCCTTGTGGTGATGTAAATAGAAATTCATGCAATAAGAACTGATCGGGCCCAGATATATCTTCATTTCTGAGTCCTAACAACGTGTGACAGGTCAAACAAGTTACAGGGAAATCTTAAATAAGTAATCTCATAAATCATGTTCTAGAAGCTTGTTATTCCTGAAGCTTTGTCACTCATATCTTCTGTTTTCTCCTGTTCTTCACTAGGCTTATCAACACTGCAGGCTGTGCTGGATTCTGCTGCTGAAAAGAAATGGCAAGTGACCGCTATCAACGTAGGAAATATTAACAATGACAGAAAAGATGAAACTTACCGTTCACTCTTTCAAGATCTAGAGGTGAAAAAGGAAAGGCGAGTGATTTTGGACTGTGAGCGTGATAAAGTCAACGACATTGTTGATCAGGTTTGCTATTCTCTGTTTCTCAGGGGCAGCAGTTAGCTGTTTTCTGTAAGTAAATGTAATGAGTAAATTTTTCTTGATCCTATTGTTATGATTATTATGTATCATTTGGAAGTGACAGATTGGTATTGAGGACTACATATATATCAGGCAGAAAGAGAACATACTAATCCTTTAATCCCTCCCTCTCCTTAAAGGAAAGGTAGTTCTTTCTTGATGATTTTATATAGTAATTATTAAAAATAAAAATAAATCTTGTTCAGACTATTTCACAGCCTAAGTAGTATACTACATTATATGTAGTTGATACACTGTTGTATATGGTGCATTATAAATAGTTACATCTAGGGCTTAGTTCTCTTTATACCTCGAAAGTATTTTATACTTCTAATACTTTTTCCAAGAACCTTTTACATCTTGGAAGGCTAAATCAATAGCTTGTCTTTTTCTTCTGACTCCCTTTGTAGTTCATGTTTCTAAGCTCTATGTCATTCATACTGTCCTTGGGTCTCTCTGCAGTTTGTCTCCTTCTTAAAGTGTGTTAACAAAAATTGGTTGCTTTCCACAGCTAAGGCTCCTGAGCTTTATACAGAACAGAAAATTATGTCTTCTCTCTACCTGCACATGTATTATTTGTCTTTTTTTTTTTTTTTTTTTTTTTTTTTACAACAGCATCGCAGTGCTTTGATTCAAATTATTGCATTACCTTCAAATCCACCTCTTCAATCCTGGTGTCTTCTTGTCTTTGTATCTTATTTCTTCCTTTCATGCATGCAGAGCACAATGGAAAACTAGAAGGATAGGTCACTGCTGGCTTGAGCTTGACTATGTGAGACTGTGCAGTATCTGTAGGGATAGATCATCAGAGTGTAGATGTATTGGTTTTTAAGCTTGTTTTAAGGGCTTGTTAATTTTGATCTTTGTTATGAAGGTTTTTAAGTTAATACATTTTCTATGATTTTGGAAAGGCTCAAGCAATGAGCGGAGTCCTAAATGGGGAGCACATTGTGTCAGTTTTAATTGGAATACATACCCACAAAGTGTTTCTCTAATTTCCAAGATCTGTTTGAATTTGATCTTGTTCTCTAGAGCATTTGCAAGCTCCCTATCATCTGTAGTTTTTTCAAATCATATTTTCTGTCTTATTATCCATGTCAAGAAATGCACTGAGTAGAACAATGCTTGAGAGAAACAGTACTTGCAGATTGTCTTCAGCTGGTTCTGCGTGGCTTTATAAACAGTTGTTCATTTACCTTACAGTGACTTGTCTGTGTTCCTGTAAGAGTTTGTAATGATGTCATACAGGACAAAAGCCTTATTAGACTCAAGATATGTCAGATCTGCCATTTTCTCGTTATCCATCAGGCTAGCTATCCTGTCAGAGAAAGGAAGGTTTGTTTTGGCGTATTTTGATCTTGACAAGACTATAATATTATCTGATTATTATCTTATCCTGCAGATTCTTTTAGAATTAGGGATGTAATACTCATAATATCTTCCCTGATATGAGATTTCAAATGACTGTATTTGACATCAATTTCTCCTTTTATAACTTTTAAAGACAAGAACTCTATTTATGCTTTAGTTACCACTCATTTTTGCTATATTTGTTTATTTAGTAATAGACCTATTACTTTCTTTGTCATCTTATTTTTATTGCAACTGTGGGATATTGTGGGATATCCATTTGATGGATTCCACCTTGTTTTGAGTCCTAGCTTATTTTTTCTTAGCCTATCCCCACAGACGTGTGATACTCCTTAAGGATACAGATGGATAAACTTGTTTTTGCTGATTTGATTTCTAAGTTACTGAATAATTCTAGATAACTGTGGATCAATCACACAGGTCAGTTAATTCCAATTAGTTGTTGTCCTCTAAATAGTTTTCTGCTGTGTCCTAGAATACGGTCTCTTACACTGCTGTCAGATGTTTCATATGGGTTTAGCCTCAAGGTTTCTTCAGTTTTTAAGTCCATTATCCTTACACACTGTTTCTGTTAACTTTGCTTCCTTACACAGAAAGGAATCTCTCAATTTTCAAGTAGTGTAAAATAAAACCTAAAATAACCATTTCTCTATTACTTTTTCCATCTCTTAAAATGAAGGTGTCTACTGAACAAAGGATTACTTGTCCTATGAGTATCCTTGGAGTGTGTTCTTCTGATTTACTTTTGTAAAAGCAGAATTTGTACTTCAGATCTTGCTTTGCTGCCAGATCTATTATTTTAAAAGTTCTTTTAATTCCTGCCCCTAAACAACCATCAATAATTTCCTTCTTTTTGTCATGGTGCATGAAGTAGACTCTTCAGTATCATTATCCATTTTCTTTTTCTATGTATTTTTTACTGAGAGACGTGCAACAGGCTTTCTGTTGATCAGATTGCTCTTGAATACTGAAGTATTACTTGCATTCTTAATATACAGAACAGCATCTTCTTTACTTTCTAATTTGTTTTCCATTCCTGAGCAAAATTTACATTGTAGTGCTTTGATTTATCTCACTGACTTTCTAAGCTGTGGTGGCAACATCAGGTTTGCCCAGATACACTCCATGGCCCTTGGATCTTTGTGTAGACACACAACGAGTTTGCAAAATTGCTTCATGATTCTGTTTTTTGTCTCAGTTTCTCTTCCAGATTTCAGTCATTTATATAAAAAGTGAAGTTAAAAAATATTTTGGTTCCCCAGCTTTTCTAAGACTGGTTTATATTCCTCTTCTCTGATTTGCCAGTTCAGTGTTAGCATGCTCTTCATTCTATAGCCCCTACCTCTTCTCAGCCAGCTTTCTTTGCAGAATCTCATTTTCCCCTGGTAACACCCTTTGGGCAGCTGTGCAATTACTGCCACTTCTTGTCTATTCCTGCTTGAGATGCTAGTCTAAACTAGTGACTCTGTTGAATACCTTTTCTGTCCACAGCTCCTTCATCAAGGCTTTTGGAGCCACTGAGTCTTCTCAGGGTTTTAACTGGCAGCATTCTTAATGCTCCTATAGATGAGTAGCACAGGGTCATGTTTTAGAAAGCTGAACTAATGAAGTACTATCCAGTAGCAGTCAGAGCAGAGTTACTAACAGTTGATCTGAAGCTTGCAGCTGCTGGTTGTTTTCTTAGATACTAATGACAAAAAAACATTTTAGGCAGAAGAGCTAATTCATTTGGTCTAACTGACACTTCTTTGGAATCAGCAACTGCATAAGAAAAACATCTTAAACCTTTTGATAAGTAGTGAGTTTTAAGTAGTCTGAACCAAGGAACTGTTTTAGAATAATTATGTTCATATATCATGTCTACATTAAGCTTAAAAGTGGCATAATTTAATAACTTCTGTGGTCTATGTAATGTGATCCCTCTCAGTCTTAAACTCTAGTAATATAAAACTTAAACACTGCCTTCAGTGGTATTCCTGTAACTTCATTAAAGCAAGTATGGGGAACGTTGCTCACTACTAGTCTGATATGTTACAGAATAACTATTCTGAATATTTCAGTTATATGTTAAATGAGGAAATAAATTAATCATCCTCTCTTAAATTTCTCTCATTGTTCAGAAGATGGAAGAAACCTCTAGAGTCCTCTTATCTCCCATATCTGTTCTGTGGAGAAGTGTTTTCCTTCAAAATACTAACATCCCCCATGCAGACAACATCCTAATTAGGTTTATTTGGGAGAAGAATCTATGCCACATGCCTGCCAGTGGAGACTGCTGAGAAACCACTAGCTGGCTTTTAGAGAGATTGTGAGGAAGCCTTAGGGCAATAAACAATTAGAACTTTAAAAGACTTCCTTATAATGCGGATGCTTTCATTAATGTCAGTGGGCTTTTAAACATTTTCTAGTGCAAGGACTGTTAAAATTCTGCTACAAAGCAAGCAGGATCTAAGCAGGAATCTCTGAGGCACAGTGCTTCTACTGCATGATGCCCATTTCCTCCTGTCCAGGTTGTGCCTTTAATACACAGCATAGTGACTAGCATTCAGCTCCTCTGTTTAGAGATCCTGGGAGCTGAACTTCATGGCTAATTTCCACCAGCGGAGAGTGTGTTCAATGGTGCATTAAGTGGAAAGTAAAGCACCAAACTCACAGTTGCATCTCGTAAAGCTTATAACTAGCTTTTACATCATACTGTACTTCGTAGTTTTTAAGTCTCAGTCCATGTATCTGTTGAACGTTCTCCATTATGAGGGTATTTCTTCTTTTTACAGGTTATCACAATTGGTAAACATGTTAAAGGATACCATTATATCATTGCAAATCTGGTAAGCATTTTTAAAATGTCAAATACCTTTATTACTCATTTAACTGTTTATGGAAGCAACTAGTATTTTTTTTAAAATGCATTTTAAAAACTATGAGAAAACTAAATGGCTTTATTCTTGCTAAATGAATGCATGTGTTGAGATGGTATTTGTTTTGTCGGTTGAGTCTTTTCAGGGTTTTAATGCCTCCTGTGATATTCCCATCAATGGGAGTAAAGGTTACTCACCACCTTCAGTAGATCTTTATCCCTTTTTCTACAAACTTTAGAAAGGTAGGATGCAGAAATCAGAAGAATATCTTTCTGCATTATAGGCTGATACAGTCATTCAGTAAACAGATGTTTTTTCTTTCACATCTAAAGTACTTAAAAATTATAACTCTCAACTTTCATTCTGCTAGTCTCATGAGTCTTAGCTTTAAACATCTTCATTCCTCAGATTGGCTTGGTAATTTGTTTGCATTAATCTTTTCTTGAACATAGGTAATCAAACTATATAGCTAATAGTGTCCTTAAGGTGGAAAGTTCAGGAAACTCACTAAATTTTATCAAGGTAATTTTTTTTTTCAATTGTCTCTAAACATGAAGGGCCATTTTGCTGACATTAGAGTCAATCATGCTTATTTACTGAAGCTAGAGAATCTAATCCATTGTTTTTTTGTAACAGATAAGGCAAATTCTGTGGGCTTGAATCTGAGTTACTCTGTTCCAGAAAAAAGTTTTGGGGTTTGCATGGTATGAGCATCACTAAATCATTTTCTTCATCATTTATTGTTGGATTGTGATAGCATTTGATATAAATTCCAGCAGGGCCCAAAGTGCTGTAATTTGCACTCAATCTTCTGTAGTCTTTTGAGGGGCCTGAGGAAACAGAACAAATGTGTATATCGTGCTTCAGACATAACCCCTGTCTCTTCCCAATCTTTCATCTAAACGCTTCCCCCCTCCAGGCAGGCAGTATTCTGAAGAATCCTGTGTTGTTACACAGGTGTGAAGAAGCCTTATGCTCTAAAGGCCTCTTAAAGCAGAACAGTGGGGTTTCATTTTTTGTGAATATCAGTACCTTAATTTCTTTATCCTAAAAATTAGTTAATAAATACAAAGCAAGCATAAAAGTCTTACAAAATCTGAAAAATCCCATTAGACGTGTATTTTGCATTGCGTTTGCTTTGTAAATAGTACTTAAAGTCTTAAGGAAGATAACCATTTCAGAAAAGATGCCCAGTGTATTTCATTATGTTAACTGGTTGCTGTTTAGCCATTGCTTTTATATTTGTAACAGTAAACTCTTAAGATCTCAAACTTATTGAATTCTTTCTTTTAAAGCTGTTTAATATAATATTTGCTTCCTTCAGATTTATACAGCTTAAATGCTAATATTGTCACCTTTTGTATAATATCATAGAACGTATGTGGCAGTGATTTTAAAACTGCATTTTGCTGTCGGAAAGAAAACTTCTCTACTCCTTGATCATATCCTTTCTTCTTCACTGAATGTTTCTTCACAGCTGTTGTGGTTTTTTTCTTGACTGTAATAATTTCCTCCAGTCTGATCAGTCAATCAAGAAATTGATCTATTTTAAGAATAAAACATTCTGATACATGAAGAGAGGTTAAAGTAGACAATAAATGTTCCTATTCAAATGTCAAGCTCCCAATAGCATTTAAGAAAGTTTCATGATCCCTGTAGAAGTGTCAGTATTAGTGTGCAACAGCACATCATTAATATGTAATATGTAAAGGGCACCTAATATAGCAATTGTAGCAACTTCTGATAGTGTGGTTTGAAGTTGCTTCTACTTCCTGTGTTCACTCAGAGCATTCATTTAAACTGAAGTGTCTGAAATAAGTATTTCATGTAAATTCATTTGTATGGTTATTTAGGGCAATTTAAAACACAGAACATGGAATGCAAAACATATGTACTATTTATAGGAATCCAAAGTAGTTCTTTATGCCAGAGGAAGGAGGCAGGGGGAGATGGAAAGTCCTTCTACATGTTTTAGTGTTCCTAGCAAAAAGAGGATGCAACTGTGGCTATAACTATTCCTGGCTAAAACTTGCTTGCCTAACTGTTACTCATGTCAGTGTTCCCTTTCTCATTTAAGCAGTCCCATTGAAATTAACAGGATTGTTTAGGAAAGTAACTGGCAAGCACAGGTCCATTAAGCCATTGCTCTATAAATGTGTATGTCCAGTAAAAGGTGTTGCTGGCTTGCAGAGCTGATGACTTAATCCTGGCAGCCCAGGAATTAAATTTGGATCCTGTCTGAGGAAAATGTGGACTTCTGCAGTACAAGTCATATGGTAACTCTGTGTATACACTATTGAGAGATCTGCCAAAACTATTGGAGTAACAGACATGATGTTTTCTGTGCCCAGGGATTTACTGATGGAGATTTGTCAAAAATTCAGTTTGGAGGAGCTAATGTCTCAGGATTTCAGATAGTTGACTATGATGATCCTCTGGTGTCAAAATTTATACAACGTTGGTCAACACTGGAGGAAAAAGAATATCCTGGTGCACACACTAGTACAATTAAGGTATGTCTTATGTTTGTTTAACCATGCCAAATGTACAGGAAGTGAGGGAACTGGAGTAGAATAACAAGAGATAGAGAAAACTCTTCAAAATCAGCTGTGCCAACACAATTTTGTATTTCTCTGGGATACTTCTAACACTCTATCATAGGACTGGTTGAGCAAAGATACTGCACTGTCAGAAATGTTAAAGACTATTTTACTTTTTCTTGTGTCAATATAAATCTGTGCCTGACAGCTTGCTAGGTAATTGCTTTTGGATGTGGTGATATATTAAGTATCTACTGAATATTTTTTCTCTTTCTCTGTGTTTTGAAATGTTTTGAAGGCCAATAGGTAATCATACATAGGCTTTCAGGGAGCACAGATCTAGCACTTTCTGATGTAACATAAATTCCCAGACAAATGGTAAGACTGCTTTGAGTCAGATGTCTAAATCCTATAGTCTTTTAAAATTAAATGGCATGCCTGAGGTACAGAGTCATGGTCTTATTTCAGGCGGGGGGGCACTGGGTGAGTGATTAAATTCCCTTACCTCAGTTTTCCCTCTGGATAAAGTAGGATAATAATATATTCTTACCTTTTGTGACTGTTATGTGGATCAAGATGTTTAAAAGAATAACTAAATTTTAATGCTAAATAATTTTTCTTTTAAGCAATACAATCAGAAATTTTATTAAGAATGAGTATACTTAGAAAACTCAAATGTATTAAGACAAAAACATAAATGGCAAATGTTCTAGGCATAACTTTTTTCTGTGACATAGCTTGATTATGAAGCATAGTCTTGATTTATGTTGAGATGGATAAGAAGTTTCAGCAAGAAATGGAAGAACCATGTTTTAAATTCCTAAAACAAAACTCCTTTAAAGCACACAACCTTGATTAAAATTTAAAAATAAAATTTATAGATTTCTTTTTCCTGGGGTCAAATTTGGAGGTGACTTAGTCAAGGGCGTGATTTTTTTTTGTGGTTCTTCTTGTATTCTGAAATCTTTATTACAGAATAAATTAATTTATCATTTGTTTGATAAAATGAAGTATGTCGTGCCTTTAGATAAATTCATATTGCAGGCATATGTAATATATTTCATATGTATTGTTCTTATTTAGGAAAAAGGGAGGTGATGTGGCTGTGGGTGATTAGAAAAATTCTTTTGTCTGGTCTGTTTCTTGAGTACCCAAATCTACCTACCTGCCTACTAATGTTGTAGAATGGTAGTCTGGAAATTATCACAGTGCAATGCATGACATGTGGAACTGAAACAAAGATGCAATTTTTGTCATTGATGGAAAAATAAATTGGTGGGGCACAGTGCGAAGTGACACGCACCTGACACAGTGTGTTAGGTTAGATTAAGTGGTTGCAGTGTTTTATTACAGCATTAACATCTATAGTTTTATCACAAGTATTCCCTCTATTTCTTACACAATAGATCCTTTCAAGAAATGGAAAGGGTAGAAAGAGGAGGAGATTGTTTGGAATATCCTGTGTTATTGAGGTTTATTTTCTTATCGATAGGAAATTAATCAAAACATTTATTTTAATGAATTTCATTAACTTAAATTACAGTTTATTTTCAATTCAAAGGGCTGATCTGTCTTCCTTTATACATTGTCTGCTCAGAGAATATACAGGATCACACTGATAACACAGTCAAGAGATTGAGACTTATGTTATCAAATCACTTAGAAATGCTAGAGGTATTGATGGGGATGTATATTACAATGTTTGGAGAGATTGATTTTATTAATTTCTGTATTTCTTTGTGTAGCTTTCTGCCTTCTACCCTTATACACATATTACTTGTCATTTTTGCCTGCCATTACGTGTAACGACAGAGATATATCACGTTTCACTTCCATCTTTGAAGGAGCTAGAGGCAGAGCAGGATCACAGAAATCATAGAAAGAGGGCAAGAACACTCTTTAAGCAGTTGGTTACTTGGCCCATTCTCCCTGTCTGAAGGCAGAATCAGGTATACCTGTGCAGTTCCTTTGGACAGTGATTTCACAACTTCCCCAAGCATTCTATCTCAGAGCTTAAATAGTCTTATTTTTTGGTCAGCCTTTATGTCACCTAATCCATTACTCCTTTATCTGTTTCTAGTAGATATGAGGAACTTCTCCTTTTTAGCTGTCCTGTATTTGAAGATGGCTGCGCTGTTTGTCTCCCTGCTAAACTATATATCCCTTTTTCTTTGAATTTTCTACTCTCAAATCATGTTCTGTTTGTCATTTTGCTCTGGAACCATTCTAATTGGTGCCCATCTTCTTTGAAGTGCCAGACTGGGTACTGCACTGCATCTGAGTGCTGTGCATAGAAATCAAAATGATGGCTTCATGTATCTCAGAGACAGTACTCATTTCATGGCTCGCTTTTGTGTTAGTCGTTTTGTTTTGTTCCCTCGCCGTCATGACACTGTTGAAATATATTAATCAGGAGATTACACACTAACATCCAGATCTTTTTCTGCATTGCTTTTCTGTACTGCTGCAGAGTTAGAGAGTCTCATACTGCATCCATGCCCTTTACGATTCCTTTAAAGTACAGCTTTTCTCATCTGTTCTTGTTGAATTGCATTCCCTACCTGTTCTTCCTGAACATGTAATTCCTTCTTATATTAGTATTCTAGCTATCCTTTATGTTGCGTTGTGTTTGCTGTCCTTTGCTTCTTGAAATAGTATATGAACATTTAAGTTACTGAGCAGGTTAAGTTGTTGGTCTCCCATTTAACTCTGGGATTGCAAGTGTTACCTTCTTGCACACAGTATCATCACAACTGTGTTGAATTATCTTCCTTTTAAAATCCAAAAGGAGCATACATTCATTTTACATTGTAACATGCAAGTCAATGGAATATGAATGAGCTGACTTGACAAGATGTATCACAGCATCCAAGTACAGTCCTGAAAATGGAGAAAGAAACCTCTTTCTAAGACAGTGTGCATTTCAGAGGAACGTGCTCTTACAAAAGAAAAACATAGTTGAAAAACTGTTCCGCAGGTTTTCAGAAGAAGACATGGATCAAAGTGCTTTAAAAATGTATCTTCACGATCTATGAAATATTAATTATAAGAAATTTCAGTCTTAGGACATAGATGAGAATTAACACTGATTTTATTTGTTGCTGCACTGTACTTCTACTGATAAAAACCACAAGATTTAAACATTAAGCAGGACACTTAAAAGTGGTGCTTCACTGCCTTTTTACAAAAGGTCTTGTCACCTTTCAGAAGTAAAGCTGATATACTGTTTACCTCAGATAAAATGTAAAATGTGTCTGTTTTAACTGAGGATGTTAGCAGTCTCTGCAAGCAAGTCTAAAATAATTTCAAAATCATGTTTTAATATCTCATAGTTGTTATTCTTTGTGAGTGTTTTGTTGTGTTGGTTTTTTTTTAATCCTAGCATAAAAAGTCTTGTTTTTATTCGCAAGGGCTAGGAGAACACCTTGCAGAATTTGGTGTTTGCTTCAGTATTTCATTGACTTTAAAGGACTTACATGTTATTATTGGAGCAAGAACAAAATAAAAGCCTTGTCCAGCAGTGGGCTGTACTACAACATTATTACCAATGGCTCTCCAAGTGAGTAATACTGAATCATCTCACCAGTTGTAGGTTTAGATCCACTCACCATAATCAACAAAAGCTGATGCAAAACAACATGGAGCCAGAGTAAATGGCAGGACATTTCTGAAAGCCTCTGCCTGACTTTCTGTGGGTGGGCACAGATGGGTTAGTTGAGACAAAGGTCAAAGCATTTCTAAGGTTGACATGGTGGAGCTTTTTTGCTGTAATGCATTTTCAGAAAAAAAAAAGGGGGCACAATGTTAGGCTAATTTGACTTTCTGAGTAATGGAAGGGATAAATTATCATACAACTTCTCTCGTAACTCTCCTGAACAAATGTGAGACACACAGGCTGACTTTCTGGGTTTTTGAATGAAAAGAGGCCTGGAACTTTGGTAGATCCAAATGCTGGTGCCATTAATAGAATCTGAAATTGTTCTGCCTCCTCCTGGAAGACAGCATCTTCACTTTGTTGCTAAGACTTTTGTGTGTGAGCATGTCTTTCAAGTAGCTAGTCTTCCCAGGGGTTTAGGCTTTGGCAGGTGCCTAGCTGCTGGGCTAGAAACCAAAACTGTTCTGGGTGTACCCAGAAAGCTGCCTTTCTAAACTAAACAAGGCAATACCTAAAGAATGTAAACACATCACAAAATCAGCAGGTTTTCTGGATTAGCAGTTTTGGACCTGAACACTTCCATTTTCTTAAGGTAACATGTTGCTTAAGGTGTTCTTTGCATCTGATGTTCTGCCAGAAACATTGTGGCATTTCAGGACAAAAATACCTACTATTTACTTAGTGGTTCTGTGCGCACAGAATGCTGGAATTGCATTAAAATAAAGGCTGTTATAAAAATGTAAGTTGATCTAACTCTATAACCTTTGGAAACAAAATGTAATAAAGATAGTATATTTGTTAAGATAAAGAGAGCTTGATCTCTAATCCTGTCTTTACTGACACTGATTGAAAACAAGATTTTTTAAAGATTCAGTGATTTTACCGGTTTTCATGTCTCATTGACTTACTCAGGACTAGGATGGTTATTAAAAATTTACAAATAATCAGTTATTATTTCCAAGTTTCTTGCATATATATGCAATTCTTTTTAGTGGAAGGAAATTATTCTAAAGGCCGCCTGTTTTCTCAAGAGCTTCATTCTAATTTAAAGATGAAAGAGGAAGAAGCAAACATTCAGTCTTTTCTGAGCTCCCTGACCTCTACCTCATGTCCCCAGTGTTTGAAACATGTCCATAGGTAATGGAGACTCTTAAAGCCCGTTTGCAGTTTGAATGGCAACCAGCCCAACATGCTGCTTTATACAAACCACATTTATCCTAATGACTGCACAGAACAAGTGAGAACAATGCATGATTATGGGCAGAATTAGAAGCCATCTGGATTTACTATGACATTTATGTGTGCAATATTCAACATTGTGTCCCATGCTCTGTCGTAACAGTATGCAAGGTATCACAAGAGAACCTGAAGAGGTAGCCTTTTCCTATCAGTCAGGCCAAAGTGTCTTCCAAAGTTCAAAGCAGCTCCAGATGCGTTAATTAAACACAGATCCTTAAGAAAGACATGCCTGAGTTAAATTAGTTTGACAACACTGAAAATTGAAGGAGGCCATTGCTTGGTTCCTTTAGTAGTTTTTAATAAGCAACTTTGTCTCATGCATTTTGCTTGTGGGTTTTGTCTTTGTGCATACCTATTTTTTTTTTATATGCTACATAAAATGTATGAATGCTTCTATATCTATTTACTGATCTCTACCAGTTCCTTCTTGAAATTAGAAACCATTTGTTACTTTTGTGAATATATTTACCAAACAGCACAATTGTGGTACAAAGTGCTATAAAAAGGCAATTCTGCTTTCGTGATATATACTAGCATTAGAGAAATACTTTGTTGTGGGGAAAAGTCAGATGAGAGATTTTATTGAATATCATTCTCAAAGCAAAATAAAGCTGTAACATGTAGTAAAACAAGACACCATTTGATATCCCAATTTAGGCCATGTATAGTTTAGCGAAGTATTACAAACAAGGTGATAAAATGTGTAGAGCAGTAAGCTGAGCATTTAATATACCCACAAGCTACAAAGACACATAGTTAGTGTCTTTACTGCCTTTGATCTGTATTTGTTGGTATTTAAGTATATTTAAATTGTTTAAGGCAAAATGCTGATCACTTGCTTTTACTGCAATTATAGTAATTCATCCTACCTCTTGCAATAAAGAACATATCCTGTATTGTCCTCTTTGAATCTTACCCCTCTCCAAGGAAAAATACTTGTATCTGAGTTTAGATCTCCTTTCCCTTAGCCACTGTTACTGATAGTGTCCCTACTCCTGCTTTCCAGTAGCAGCCCCCCATACAAGAACTGTTTTCTGTGCCTGTTTGAGATTTATTTCAGCCTTCTGGAACACTGCTTCAGCTGGATATGCCATTCTAGCAGAGGTCTTCCTATGGTCTTGCACACTAGCCCTGCATTCTTTGACTCTGCTGGTGCAGTGCCCAAAATATCATATTAGTTTACTTGTCTTTCTCACTGTTGTCTTAAATTAGGGTCAATGGCCCTAATCATAATCATAAATTCATAATCACCTTTAGTGGTTTTAGTTTGTTTTTAATTTGTCTACAGTGTAGACCTGTGTATCTAAGTTGGTTGCCCTGGAATCCTTTAGTTGTCTCAGAAGTCACTGGAGATGAAATTAATAAAATCTAAGGCATGATTAATTTAATTTTGAAGTTGTCTAATAGGTCAAATGAATCATACCTTAAAATTCTTATTTCTCTGTAAAAAAACACAAAACTAACCAACAGATGGAAAAACAACAAAAAACAATTAGTATGTCAATTAAAGATTTATACATTGCAGTTATCCAAATCAAGATAAGAAAAATTCAACTTGTGATTCAGATGATTCAGAATATGTTCCTTTTTTTTTCTTTTCTCCATTTATGTCTTCAAATTTTCATTTCTTTTCCACTGCTCAAGAATATTTTAATGTTATATTTTAAATCTCTAAATCTGTTTCTCAACTCTGTGTCTTCAGCACATGGACAGACACTGGGTTAAACACAGGACTAACAGGCTAACATTGCATCTTTTTATAATATCTTACAGCTTTAAAATGTGTGTATTAAAACATTTCATGCTTCTGGAGGTGTCTTTCAAAATATCAGTTGTTTCAGTTGCTGATTGTACAAAATAGGATACCAGGCCTTTTAGTTAAGGATCTCTGGCATTTCCTACTTTACTGGAAAACAGCTGAAATTACAAAAGTCAACATCTTGCCAGTTTTTCTTGTACACTACATGATTAATATATTTTTCTTAGTCTGGGATGACTTTGTTTTCTCTTTTCAGTTGTAGCTTACATATTTTATTAAGTTCTATATTATGTTTTAAATTGAAGTTGAATAAAATTGCATATAGACCTTGTGTTTTCTCCTCCTGGCAATCTTCTGGGCATTTATTTAGAGAGAGAATTCTTTTCATATGACAAGCGTGCAATCCATGTTTCATAGCAAATAAGAAAATCATTGGTCCCTTCAGTGCATTACACTATACTTAATATCAGCTTATTGTTATCATAATTCTAGAATTATGAGAAGTGAGATACAGTATTATTAATCTTTTTTGCATATTCTTTGCCATATTTTACTTAATACAGGTGATTCTTAGGAACTATAGGATAGCATCTGTACCATTTTGTATTAAAGCTGCTGATTTTGTCATATAGAGTTGAAAGGAACTAAAAAGAAGTTAGGAGATTTGCACTGCTGTAAAAGCAGTATGCTGAAAAAGCCCATCCTACCTCCACAGTGCTCCCAGTTGTTTTAGTAGTGCAGATCAGAATGTGAATGAATCCAGTATGAAACAAAATTGAATCAACACAGGACTATTGCATCCCTTACCTTACTAAAATTTTATTTATTACACACACAGATACCTCTCTGCTTGAGCAGGTTATGTGTAATTTCTTGTTTATGGTAATGCCTTCTGTTTTGGTTTGTCAACTTTACATATATTAATTAAGCTGTAGGTAGTTTTAATGAGACCCATGAAGGTTATTAGGAGCTGAAAGTGTATGCCGAGTGAAGCAATAATAAATGATACATGGACTGTTTGCTTTCCTGGTATCTCCAACAACATGAAGGTGTAAAATGTGTGTAAAATATTTTGAGATCCTTAGATCAATGCTGACTTTTAACCTAAATTAAAGCATGTGGATGTTATATATGGGATGATATGTATAAACATACAGATATGTATCAATAAGCAAAGCACTACACAAACTGAATATATGAGAGACTTATGAATATTTGGGCTAGTAATTATATACTATTTTTGCCCCCTATAGTATTATAGAGATTCAATGAAACATATCCTGATAATCAAATTAAAGTTTGATGAACTGATTTACATATTACTGTAATTTTTCAGTTTCAAGGTTTTATTTTCTCTGCTACCTGAATTATGTTTCAGTGGTTAATGACAGTGCTGTATCCAAAGTTTCTCAAAACACTAGTGTGGCACAATATGTTTCTGCACTGCAGAGAACTACACTTAAGTATTGCTAGTCAGTCCCAAAAACATGAGTCAGGGTCCTTTCCCTTCTCTCTGTTATCTTCTCTTCATTTCCACATCTATGTCCACCACTTACTCACTGCTACTGCAGTAGCAAAAAGTTGTGTTGGCTTCAGCCAGTCTTCCATTTAATTCTGCTGCATTTCTGATCCATAAAAAAATCCAAAAATTTCCATAGAAATCACTGAGAACTTTCTTGAGAAGATTCACATTAATCACCCAGTAAGCTTATGTATCTGAAAAAAAAGAGTTCCACCTTCCTTTTCGTCCTCTCCAAGGTTTAATAGTTGCATACAAAAATTATGTCAGTTCAGTAGCCTGCCCTGGTTACAAGAGCCTTCTGCATGACTTGAGCTAGCTAATTAAAATCCTGATTAATGTCTGAGATACTGAAGCAAGAGCCAGTATATCATTTCTCTCTACTTTACAGTTTATGTATTTTCAACATCTAATAGCCTTCGTAAGGATCATTGCATTCATTCACAAGGCTGTAAGTAGTTTTATTCTGGCCCATATTTCCAAAAATGTGCCTTATATTTGGCATAATTGCAGTGTTCTGGACTCATAAGGCCCATCCAACAATGTCCTCAGTGTACGTGCACATGTGGTTTCTGTTCACTTAGTTCAGATGTAAAATTTTCCAGTCACTGAAGGTAACTGCTTTTGACTGTTTAGCTCCAACTTCTGATGCATGTCATGCTGTGATTTTTGTCTGACGTCTCAAAGGTTTTAAAGCTTCTTGTATTGTGTCAGATTAGGAATATGGGCTCTTCCTTACCTATATTGCTCTTGGAGGGGCACCATTTCTTCTGGATGTCTCAGCTCAAAACCTCTTATTCATGGTGCTGACAGGGTATTTATTGCATACTTGAGAAGAAACATCCCTGAGGTTTTATATTTAACAGGTGAAAATTAAGCACATGTATATACAAATACATGTTGTTTGGTTTTTGGTGTATGTATATGTGAGGAGTTGTAGTCTAGAGTTCTGTATAAAAATGCATTTCCATCAAGAGCGTAATCAGCAGAAAAATTTCTTACGTTTAGAGGCCAACTCAAGTTAAATAGTGGAAATTATTTTTTTTTCCTTTTTCACCTCCATGGACTTCCAGTTGTACATGCACAGAGAACTGTTACAAAGCTGCAGTGAGAAAGGGATGTAATTCACACTAAAAGCAGCTGTAAATTTTCAGTTTAGATTTATTAGCACTGTTCCTAACCATTCTCATGGAGAACACTTTGCACAGATGCCCCCCAGAGGATAAGTACCTTCAAACAAGAAAACTGATTGAAAGTGCATCTTACTTTCCTTTTTAACATGTTTCTGTGTTTATTAGATTAATGAGTGGATTGGAAGGTATAGTGAAACTGAAGCTGTCTTTTAATTAAATATTTTCACTTATTTTCAGTATACATCTGCTCTGACTTATGATGCTGTTCAAGTGATGACAGAAGCTTTCCGTAATTTGCGTAAACAGAGGATTGAGATCTCCAGAAGAGGAAATGCTGGAGATTGTCTTGCAAATCCAGCTGTACCCTGGGGTCATGGTGTAGAAATAGAAAGGGCTTTGAAACAGGTAGCTCCTTTGGAGTGAATGCTGGGATGAGTGCTTGTGTGAAATTCTCTGTAAATGCTTGAAAAGAGCTTTTCAGTCTCCTAACCTGCTTGGATCTTACCGGGAATAATGTGGAAGTGAATTTTGGCATATGCAAAAGAGTCTGAACTCAATGCTTTTGAATACCAGTAGTCATTTCTGTAAGTATCATTTTTTCTAAAAAGAAACAAACTTAATTCCTCTATCACTTTCATCTTTGTCTATGTAGGTTCAGGTGGAAGGTCTAACAGGGAATATAAAGTTTGATCAGAATGGAAAGAGAATCAATTTTACAATAAACATCATGGAACTCAAAAGTACTGGTCCTCGGAAGGTAATTTGAATTGTCTTAAAGTGTCTTTAAAGGTTTTACCATGCTAAGCAAAGGGTTAAGGTAAGTAATGGAACACTTTAGATGAATTAAAGCATGAGTTGTGAAAATATTTATTCATAGGTGTATTCTCCGATGATCTTTCAGGACAATGTAAAAATATATACGTTTTTAGGGTTTTTCCTAACAAGTACGAGTTGTTATTCCTGGTAAGTACTACCTAAGAGTATTTACCTTTTGGGTTTTGTGGATTAAACTTTCTGATCGGAGTTGCTAAATGTGAGCCAGTATTTGGGGATATACGCATCTGAATGACCAATGCAGATTACGGGTTTTCATTAACATCACTTGAAATGTGATTACCCTTATGCTCTAATTCCAAACTTTCAGGAAAAGCCAGTTTGTCATGTCTTCCTAATCTACAGTAGTTCACCCTTTTATTGTGTGGTATTGGTACTAAAACCTGTTAATATGTGAATGAAAATTACATACCTGTATTAGACAAATTATTGTGAACAAGTATCATTAGTTCAATCATTTTACTATTTGTTATATTCTTGAACTAGATAAATAGAAATATTTACACTAGTGAATCCATAGCTAAAATAGTTATCTGTGTGCATGAATCAAGGGCATAGTAATAACATGCTTTACTTCTTCTACGGAAGTTCATATTCACTGGTGTCTGCATCTTATAAACTCTCCTTAGATTGGATATTGGAGTGAAGTGGACAAAATGGTTGTGAATCCTCTTGATGGCCCTCTTGGAAATGAATCTTCAGGACTAGAGAATAAGACTATTATTGTCACCACTATTTTGGTAATTAACCTCATATTTTGTCAGAAGACGGTCTGTCCTACAGTGATTTGTTTCTTGTCATTATGTTAGTTTAAATATACTGCCTTTTTATTATTTGTAGCTGTGACTTGTTACTCATTATGATAGATAAATAAAATCTGGAAATGAAGCAAATATGTGTTATTTGGTACGTGATTTTGCTCTGTATAAAACAAAAAATGATGGACTGAGTATCCTAGAGTCTAAAATATTTAGACCTGAAAATGGAAATGAAATACCTGCTTTCAAAGGAGAGGAACTTGGAGAGGCAGGCCATAGTGTTAGTTTTAGAGAATGGATTACTGGTTCTTATGATTCAGAATTGTAGCTGCTATGGATTGGTGAAGCGTAAAGTTGTATTTTAGTTGTCTAGAAAATAACTGCTTTAGAACAACTTTTTTTTTTTTAAGTCACACAGCTGCCTTATTAGTTTGGGCAAGACATGGGTTACCATAGGAGTAGCACTGGGTGCAAGAACAGTTAAGTAACAACTGATCAAAGGGCAGATACGTTACTTTGATACAACTTGAGGACATTACCAGTTTTGCTGATGATACAACTTTACTGCATGGTTTTAGATACCTTACCTATAGTTTGTGTAGTAATTAAGTAAAGATATGGCCTGAAGAGCTGATGTTTTTCCATCAGGGATGTGGTTGTGAAATAGGAAATAATTTTATTGTATTAACAACGAAAGAAACTAAATACCTTTGCCTTTTCCATCCACACTGTATGAGGGAAAGAAACTGATTTTGGAACTTACTCTTTCTTCTCTGAATGCATAACTCCTGTTAACATTCATGATCATTATTAACATACTGCTGGGAATCACTGTACCTGTAAGTATTGTTGTTTGTGTGCGACTGTGGAGAATGCAGCTTTTAAATGTGCTGAGGACACGTCACATTAATAACTAACAGCTAACATATACATAGCACATATGACTCCGATGTTGTATTCTGTTTTTTTCACGTGTAAAAGGAAATGTTCATCTATGAAGTGCACAACTGATACTTCTGTCTCTTTAGCAAGTACCTAAGACAAGTTCTTTCTGTGCAGGAGTCCCCATATGTCATGATGAAGAAAAATCACGAAATGCTTGAAGGAAATGATCGATATGAGGGCTATTGTGTGGACTTAGCTACAGAAATTGCTAAACACTGTGGATTCAAATACAAGCTCACAATTGTTGGGGATGGCAAGTATGGGGCAAGGGATGCAGACACAAAAATCTGGAATGGAATGGTTGGAGAACTTGTTTATGGGGTAAGAAAATCTTTTATGATAAAACCATTAAAAATTACAGATAGAAGGAGTAGGGTTTGGTTTATTTTTCTCTGTAGAGGAAAATTATCTAATTCATTTGACAGAGAATTAGTAACTTGTATTGGCATGAAAAATTCTGAAAGTAAAACATGGAATTATATTTTGTATGCAAAAGAAGCTGGGGGGAAAGTGAGTGCATATTTCATCTTTCTGACCAGGTAAAAGGCAATTTACTTTACTAACACTTTTAAATGTCATACACTTTTTAAAGGGCATGTGTAAAAAGGGAAGCTTGGAATATGCCAACCATATGGCTATATGTATTTCAGTAAGAAGAGTTTGAACTAAAAATTTCTTTAATTCTCCATGGACATTCTTGGTAAAATGGATGTTGTCAGTGTCTCTGCTGTCCTATTTTCTGTTTGTGGAATGCAATAGAAACTAAACTGTTCTTTGCTCTGGTAATTATATTAGCTATTATTTGCTTTTTATCTTCCTTTACAGAAAGCCGATATTGCAATTGCTCCATTAACTATAACATTGGTGAGAGAAGAGGTGATTGACTTCTCAAAGCCCTTTATGAGCCTGGGGATATCAATAATGATCAAGAAGCCTCAGAAGTCCAAGCCAGGAGTGTTTTCATTTCTTGATCCATTAGCATATGAAATCTGGATGTGCATTGTTTTTGCCTACATTGGGGTCAGTGTAGTTTTATTCCTGGTCAGCAGATTTAGCCCATACGAGTGGCACACTGAGGAATTTGAAGATGGAAGAGAAACGCAAACTAATGAATCAACTAATGAATTTGGGATATTTAATAGTCTCTGGTTTTCCCTGGGTGCCTTTATGCAGCAAGGATGCGATATTTCGCCAAGGTTGGTTACTCGCCCATTTCAACTTTGTGCATTTTTGGTCTCAGCCATCTCAGCCAGAGGAGGTTCATGGTGCATATATTTTCACTCTCAGAAGTAAAGTAATTGCTATGCTTTTTCCCTCCCTAAAATCACAGAAGTCCTTGAAATAAAGGTGGTTGTCTGTGACTTAGGGTCATGATGTGTTTGATCGATATTGTCTTGATGTCGGTCATACCTTTGCCAAGTGAAGTTATATACACCATACAGAGACTGTAAAATGCATAAGGTTAAGTCATTCCATGCCTTCTTGGAGGGGTACCGTGTTTTTGCTGCATATTCCCATTTTACAGTTGACAGTGCATACAGTTCACAACAACTGTAATGGGAAAAAAGGGTAACATGCTAGTCACGAGCTACACAGGCAGCACTTTCTCTCTAAAACTCACTACATATCATAACATATTTATTAACCCACTGTTTTTTACAGGAGAGCCTTGAGCTGAAATAGAAGTCATGTGATGGCTCTAAGTTAATATGAATAGTTGCAAAACACTGCTGTTTTGCCATGGCCCAGTTTTAGAAAAGTCACAAAGGAAATAGCTAAAATAAAAAGGTCCAGTTTAAAAATGCTTAATTCCTCATGGATTTTCTACTACTTTATTAGGGACAACTGTAAAGCACTGAAGTTAATTCCTTTGCAGCTCATTAAATATTCTATTTCCCTTGTGGACAAGTGGTTCTAGCCTTGATTCCGCAAACTGGTAAGTAGGTAGGTAAATAACTACTTCTAGCTTGAATGAACGATAGGGAACAAGGGAAATACGGTAACTGGGTTTAAAGAAATCAACTCAGAAGGCCTACCTAACTGTACTAAGGAATTTAACTTTCTTCTAAACATCCTGAAGTAAGACAGGGAATAGGTGAATTTCTAGTCTCTCGTGGCTACTGTGCAAAATAAATCACACCAAGGGAGCATTTCTTAGATATCAGTCATGCATCCCAAAAGGCAACGGCAGGTTTTCAAGTTCTGCTGCAGAACTGTGTGAGAACTTTAACAACTCTGTATAAAGGCTAGCATATCACAGTGAGATGTGCCAGCCTTTTTGATGCAGGATGCAATGCATTTGGCATGTAACACCATAACAATTGTATACAAGAAATGAGAGCAAATCATTTCAGGTCATGAGAAGCTGTGTCAATTTCCATCCTGTGGGGTTTTTGTATTGATTATACACTTCACATTAGCTGTCTGCAAAGTTTTCTATTAATTACAAAATTATTTTTATTGAATCAAGGCCATAGTAGAATAATGATCTTCCTTATTATTATTTCACTCGCTATTAAAGCTTGACCATTGTGGTGCACAGTTTGATGACTTCTGAAAGGTGATGTAAGAATTATGATAGTAAATGGTCATCATAAAAGGTGCATGAAGCTCTGATAATTTTGGAGATTCAAGATTTAGTCTCAGCAAAGTGTTTAACAGCACTTTATTTCATTACAAGCATGCTTTTGAGGAAAACTGTTAGTTTGGATATTATCTGTTTATTGTAAAAGTAGAAAAGAGCTGAAGACACCTCAGTTATTTTTGGTTTTGCACCAAAACCATCACTGGAATTTGAGCTCCCTGCAAATGGATTAGAGCATATAGGAAAAGGAATCCTTTCAGATGTGAGCAAAATGTCTTTGTGAAGTGAAGTTTGCACTGTTGCTACTAATTTCTCTAATAAAAATGACGACCACTGTGAGAATGGTAGAGCAGACAAGTAACTAGGGCTTCCTGACTCTGAAGGTGGCGCTGAGAAAAACTGGACCATCTGGAAGCTGGTGTGCAGTAGCAATCGTCATGTTGCTGTGTAGCTCCGAAACAACAGGAAGGAACAGAATAAACTAGACTAGACTAAAGTAATTCTATGGTAATGATAACTTAGCAGTTTTCCTCATCTTTTCTGAGATATGAGTGTACTCTCAGTACTGCTGCCTAATACCTTTTTGTAAGTATTAAGTGTGGTGCATAAATTTAGGTAGTTTTGCAAAGAAGTTATGATTTAATGATATAATTAATTAGGTACTTGTACAATTGTGGGTCCACTATAACTAGTGTATAATTATCAATCTTTAGAAATGTCATTAAGAAAATATTTATTTAACTGGGACAGACCTTATGGGACAATTTTGAATAAAAATTACATTAAAAACATTTTTACTTATAAATTTCACATGGGAGCATAATGTCTGGATTGGCATTGAGCTTATTCTTATTTTGCAAAGTCGGTAGTGACTTTGCCGATGGATTATGGGCTTTTGAAGATTATTATAATTTGTAGCAGACACTATCAGTGCAATACAAAATGCCATAAAATCAGCAGATATTAAGTACACATTGTAAGATATTTTTACCTTGCAAATATATATATTTCTCATATAATTCAATCTTTTAATAGTAGAATTATATTGTACTCAATTACCTTCCTGTCAAGTATAAAATATTTTTTCAAAGGTGACAGGAAGCAAGTTTGCAGAATAAATTAAAAAAAAGAACTTTAATTCTTTTGTTTTCTATGATCCTTTTAAATAACATATTCTGGACTGTATCTGACTTGATTTTCATGCATTAGAGTGAATTAGTGAGTCTGTTGTGACATGGAAAAAGTCTTTTCATGTCTGAATTATCACAGATTTTTTCTGATAGGAGGTAGTAAAAATAATTTGTCCGGTATTGTTTTTTGTTCCCAGTTTAATAAATCAGTTTTGCATAAGTAAAATGTTTTAATGCGTGTATATATATATCTATTTAAATATTTAGTGAAATCTCATTCACAATACAATAGGCTGCATAAGTGATTTGTAAGTTGTTTACTTAATAGACAGAGGAAACAGTAAGATTATACCTAAGGTACTCCAACATCTTAGTACTAGACTTTCAATTACCTGCACATTTCTGCCAAATAATTAATCACGTCTCTGAAAATTATGTGCTCTGTATAATGTCCTGTCTGGAAACAAAGTAATCTATAATTTTGAAGTTTAAAGGATCATTAGAAAAATTTCAAAGTTTACAATAATGGCAGAATCAATAATCCTCTATTAGTTTTCTAGTATTGAAAAATCTTGCATTTCTCTAGTTGTGTGCTGTATGCTGTTTCACATATTTTCTTGAGTTGTCTTTTCTTCTCTCTTCTTGAGCAGGAGATGCAAAACAAAGATCCATAAGACCCCATCTGCTGCAGTTACAAACATCAGATTATTATTACTATTTAAAAATACACTTTCTTCACCATCTTTGTGTATTACCACTGATTGTTTTATGTCCATTTTGTAAAATACTTGTATCTTCCAAAAGTTGCGTGCACCTTTAGTTTATGGATATTTCTTGGGCGAGTTTTTATTGCAAATATGCTATTTGTTTTTCTGCATAGATTGTCCATGGCACCATAAGACATTGTTTCGTGGAAACCAGTTTTTGTCTGAATGTCTTAGGAAAATAAGCAAGCTAAAGGCACTTAATTTTTAAGTGCATACTGGCTCATCTGAAAGCACTGCTTTACTGATTTTGTTTGATCCTTTTCATAATGTCACACAAATTCACTTCAGAGGGAATGACAAGTTTATGTGTTAATTATAGCCCATTATGATGGGAACAATTTCCTTTCAGAGCGTTCAGAATGTTGAAGAACTGGATCACTAAAGTCTCCCTGAAGTAAACTCTGGTGTCCTGATTTCAGCAAAATCCAGGCATGTAGTAGAGAATGCCTTGATTTCCCATCTGATCAGTATGCAGAGAGCAGCGCTACAAGATAGCCGGAAATGCTTCCCTGTAGTATAATGCATCATTTGCATGAAACTGATAACATGTGTTCCTTTTTCGGACTTTCATTTCACTTTACAAATCCATTTCATACTTGTTATTAGATCCCTGTCTGGGCGAATTGTTGGAGGTGTGTGGTGGTTCTTTACCCTCATCATAATCTCATCCTACACGGCTAACTTAGCTGCCTTCCTGACGGTTGAGAGGATGGTGTCTCCCATTGAAAGTGCAGAGGATCTTTCCAAACAAACAGAAATTGCTTATGGAACGTTAGATTCTGGCTCCACTAAAGAGTTTTTTAGGGTAAGATTTTCTACTTTTTAGATTTCTGTTTTGTTTTAAATAGTTTTTCACTCATGTATATGTGTTTTTCCTAGGCTTTATTAAAAGATTGCTATAAAAAACGTGGCATGTGCAGCCTAACTTGCCAGTACAAGTGGTTTTGTTTATTCGTTATCCTTTTATTTTATTATCTATATGTAAATACAAGGTTCATGTTATAAATATGCAAAACAAAAGTGGTTGCAAGGAATTACATAAAAATATTCCACAGTAAAGTAAAAAACAAGGTGTGTTCAGAGGAGTTGATGTCATTCTTCTAATCTGTAAAGCAGGAACTAACGATTATAAACAAGGCTGTTTAATATCTGTGCTGTATTTTAGGTAGTCATGCAGTGAGTAGGGATGTGGGAAAGTGCACAGTCATGTTTTATTAAGTATTTCACATTATTTTTCAAGTTTGCAGATAGGGAATGGGATACTACCCTGTTGGCTGCTCTGGTAAATCCCTGCCTGCTTTTCAAATGAGTTACTATTTGTCTTTGCATTACAGTAATGCTTTGGAAGCCTGTCAGTCCTCACCTTCTACCTGAGTACTACAGTTTAAAAAAAAGTTTAGACTTCAATGTGTAAGTCTCAGGCTGCCCTTGAGACATGGTGAAATCCATCTAGCAAATGAGTGAGACACTAATGCTGCTGGGAAATACACCGTGACTGTTTTGCCTTGTCTGTATGTTCTGTGTGTCTTTCCCTGTAATATGGAAGTGGATCTGAAGTACTACAAATACAAAAAACCTGTTGTTTTCATATTTTTCATGGATTATGACAGTATTATTTTTCAACAAAATATTTTAATATAGTCATAAATATTACATTTGCATTTCAAACATAGCCTGCTATAAAAGTGAAACAAGTTCTCACAAACATTTGTAATGTATAATTAGAACACTAACTGCTAGATTGTGGTTTTTGCTGGATCCTGTAATACATACTTTACTGATAACATACTAAATAGGAGCCATACTTTTTGAACTGCAGAAAAGCATTATTTTGGGGTTTAATGGTAGGTCCAGTAATAAGAGGCCTGCTTCTGATTGCATTACTGTTGGCTAAACCAAAACTAACATCAGGTGCATAAGCTAGTGAAAATGAGCTCGAGTTTGTGCTAGGGGTGTTTAGAATCTTTTAGAAGTATACAAGCATGTGTTTCTGGTTTTGTGAGTATAAAACTTTTAAATCATGGCTATACTGAGGTTTGAATGTGAACTAATAGTAGGTCAGGTCTTTTGAACTTTTTAGGCTTTCTTTTAAAATAAAAAATGTATTTTTTACGTACGTGCCTGCATCTGTATGTAGGTTTTGTGTGCCTAGCACATATATGCATCTTTCTGATTACATTCATACATAACTAGTGTTTCTGATTATTACCTGAATATTAATAACTTATTTTTGTAAAAATCAGGTGTGGGCTTTGTGAGGCCATATTATTCTCCTTTTGTTACGTTAACATTAGCTTTGCACAAACAAGGCTATAATGGTCTCTGGAAATTTCTTGTCAGCAATTTCCATCACAAACAACTTGGTGCATTATGTGTCATGAAACTTAGCCTGTTGGCTCTGTTTACGATTTGCTAAAAATCACTTAAACTTACCTGGTTATTTTTCAAGAAATAACAGCTGACAGGATATATTTCTAGGAGACCTGAAACTCAAGCTTCAAGAACAAAGCTCACTGCTGAAGGCAGTGTGGAAGCAGCATCTAGCACTTAGGAGACTCAGATTTCACCCAGACTAGTTCTGTGTGGTGACTGGATTGGAGTGGATGTTTGATTTTTATATGACCTGAAATTAGGACTCAAATTCTTTGAATAACTGGAAACAACCTGAGTATTTTTCTGTCAGCAAGAAAAAAATGGACTGGCTTTTTCTCTGTCACTGTTACGAATTAAAAGAAACATTTTAAGTTCCTTCACAGTTAGCTTGTTTTCTCTTCAAGAATTGACATTATTTGCAAGTTTGTTTTCCGTAGATGGAATGTATGCTAGACATAATAGTAAATAAATAAAAATAATTAGAAAATAATAATAACAATGTTATAGATCACAATTTTCTTCAATGGCAGATCCATCAGGTCTCTTGATAAAATATTTGTAAATACCAGAATTTGTAATAATTTTCCTCAGGAGATTTTAAAGTTGCTAGTGCAAGTACTCTGTATCTTCACAGTTCTGTTCCTTTGAGTTGGGATACTTACCATTTCTGATACTTACTCTAGTTCCTCTGTCTTAGGGATATTACTCTAGAGTACAAAGATGTGTAGTGCATTGCTTTTTCTTTTTCTTTTGGATTTTCAACCTGAAGTATTGAGCAAAACATGGAAGAAAATATCTGTGTCTGTAGTTTTCCAGAAGTGCAGCAATTTTCTCAAATAAGTAGGGGATTGTGATGGTGAGAATGTGACTGCAGGTGCAGCTTGGAAGATACAGGTGTCATTTCAGTTGATCTTCTACAGGTGCATTATCTCTATAATTGTCAGATCGCAGGTACTATTTGTTGGAGCAGTAAGTGGTGGGGCACTAGAATTTCATCACTCTGGTATGTACTATTGACACTATCCATAGTCTCACAGTATTTTTTACCTGCACTGATTTCTTAGCAGCTGTTGTAAATACATTTGTTGTATACATTAGCAAAGACACACAGTAGAGCTTTGAAGAAAAACAAAAGAGTCACTGATCCAAGAAGGCAGACTGCTCCTCACCTAACCCTGCAGAAATTAATGTTCATGCACTGTCTGTATGTGTTAACTCCTGAATTTGCCTTGCTTTCTTTCTTGGGCTACAGCACTGGAAGAATAAAACAATGTACAATTGCCTAAGTATGCAAGCTTAACATTTACTGAAAGATTTCCTTGCTTTCCACCTGCTTGAAGGCATATTGAAAATTAATGTGATACAAAGAGAACAAAAGCTAATTACTTTTATAATTCAGTCATGCTCTTTGCTGTATGCCTAGCTCTATTCATCAAAAATATGTATAAGCTTGATAAGACAAATTAAATGAATCTTACTACCTTTTTTCCATTTTAAAAGATGAATTCTAACTAGTTCCATGTGTAAGGTAAGAAGACATCTCAAAAAGAAAAAAAGACCTGCAGAGTAATAATTAGAGTAATTTACGTTCTCTCTCTGTCTTCATTTGTTTTTATTTAAAATCTTTGTGTATGTATCTCTTTTTGAACCAACATGTACAGACCAATCAGTTTTGTTCTAACTGTTGGGTGGCCTTCAAGAGTAGATCCTCTGCCAAAGTAAAAGCAAGCAGAACTGCTCAAAAGTATTCTTTAGCTTTTACTGAAAAGACTGCAAGAGTTGCTTATTCTCCCTGAAGAGACCAGAGTTCCAGAATGAAAAGTTGAGCATGGGAAAAATGCCAAAGGGGTGGTAATCCTTGCTGTCTTATAAAGAAGTCCTCTTCCATAGTGAAAAGCCAGCAACAAACGAAGAAGAGCTGACAAGACCTCTTTGAGTCATTGCTCCTGCAAAAGCATTGTCTATTGGAAGGCAAAGAAAATTTGGTCTGAAGATTAGTATTATTTTCTTTCCTGAGGATCTTCAACACGGTCCAGTGCCTCTAGATATATGAGTACTTTGAAATATTTTTTTTAACTTATAAAGGTACATAGCTGCATGATTGTATTCCAAGAGGTTATGCAAAAAGAGATAAAGCTGGATAGCAGTCTGTGAACCCCAGTCTGTCTTTATGCTCATCAAATATTCAAGCTTCAAAAAAAAGCCCCATGGAAAATCTTCAAAACCAGTGAGAAGAGAAGAAATACTCTGATTTTTTAAATGCAATTGGAGTAAAAATATATGAATCATACTTCAGCCTCAATTTTTGAAGTTTGAGATATAGGAGAGTTACAGAACATGTATTTCCAGAGTTAAATTTTGGCTCACTCCCCAGAAGCCTTTGAGAGTCAAAGGAGACTTTGTTATGAAATCTTCTGTAACTTTTACTGCAGATTGTTCTGGGTACTGTAAAGAGGTGGGGGCTATAGGTCTGGAATTTCATCAATCTGTGGAGGCAATATGATAATACAATGTGAGTTGGGCTTTTAAAGGTTGACGGAAGAGAAAGGTATGTAGCTGAAATACTGAGGAGAGAGAAATCTGAGCACTGAGATGGTGGAACTACTGCCCTTTGCTTCCAAGAGTGTATTAGTGAAGTTATGGTTCGGTTTGCGTGTATGTGATCTAGAGGGTTCAGTGATTAATTCCCAGTTGTTTTCTTCTGTTTCGAGGTCCTTGCATCTTGGCCATACACTGAAAAATTTATTTGGGCCATTATGGAAGTAATTTTAAAAGAAATAATGCAGTAATCAATAATTCCTTTTTTCTTCAAAACATTTCCCAATGTTATTTTCCAGGATTCATTTTTTTCTCTCTCCACATTGCCCAAAATCATATTGTCTTTTTCAGACAGCTCACTGGGCTTAGTGAGCAAAACATTGTGGTGTTACAAAAACCTTGTTACATATATTACTCAGACAAGTTCATTTCAAATTAGTATTTGGATAACATTTATTAAAAGAAAATGTATTCCTTTGTAATAGAATTTTCCTTCCTTGATTGTAAGGACAAATTGTGTCTGATAAAAGACATCTTCTCTTTCAAGTTTTCATCAAGTTTTATTAGTTCTAAGCCAGGTATGCTGTGTTGTAGGTAATCCGGTGCTGGGCAAAAATGAATTTGCAGCAGTATAGTTTGAAGATTCACCAGAGTTTTGTAATTTATTTTATAAATTTTTACACTCTAAAATAATTATAAATTAGTATTAAGTTGTATTTTTTTTTCCTAGTCGAAAGGTATTTATAACTAGTTTATCTTCATTTGTTACAGTACATTAACAATTATTATGTAGGGTTTTTTTCTTCCCAGTGTTTTTATTTTCCAATGCATTAATACACAGCAAGTGTGGGTCTTTTCTGAGCTTTCATCTCTGTCAAAAAACCCTACATTTAT